GTGTTCTGGGGTGCCGCTGTGGGGAAGTCACAAGGTTTTTCCCTGCATTCTAGGGTGGGGAGCCTCCTTCGCCGCTCCCCTCCTCTCCAGCATGGGCGCCCTGGCTGCCTCCGGCAGATACGGACTCGAAAGCTTGCGTCATGGCCCTTCAGCGCCTATGTTCTGCAGGTGCGTTGGTGCGGTTTGGCGTCTCCTTCGTCCTGACGCTGTTTTTGTTTTTGGGAGTAGGAATGGGTGTACATACGTACTTGAGAACGTGGACCGTATCACCCGAGGTGCCTACTGCAGGGCTATTAGCCCATACTGGGCATCTCTTGTTCTCTCCACCTGATTCCTTCCTCGGTTCACGGGTGTCTGCGGGTGGCCTCTTGGCCCTACCGAGGCGACTCCTGCCTGTACTCCTCTTGCCCCTCTCCTATGCTTGTCTAACCTTGCTAGAGTTCGGGGCCCCGCCTCCACCTTGTTCCGCAGTGCAACGGTGGGGGTTCCTGTTTGGTAGTACGTTTTCCTGTGTCGGAGGTTTTGTGTTCGCCTCCTTGTGCTTGCAGGTTGGGTTCTGGCTCTTTGGTTCTGCCTCTCCCCTGTCGTTTGCCTGTCGGGCGGATTCTGTGCTTCTTGGGCGCTCTCGTCTCTGCTCTTGGGGCTGTGTATGGGGTCAGCCCATGTTGGGCTGCCTAATGTGTTCCTTTGTTTGCCTGTTACACTGCACACGTTTCTTCCACCGTCCTTGGCTCAGTTGGGTGCTTGGTTTCCGCCTGTGTCCCCTTGTGTGCCACTCGTGTACGATTTATCTATCTTCTGTCGCTTCCTCGGGGAGTGTAGTGACATTTTGCTGCGGCTTTGGTACTGCAGCTGCATGTCGGGGTTGGTTGTGGCGTTATGTCCGGCCCTTCCGTGTTCCCTCTGGGGCTCTCCTTCCTTGCCGGTCTTGCTGTACCGGGCCTGGTTTTTCCATGTTCCTTGGATTCTCGGTCTTGTCCTCGCCTCATTGTGATGGCTGGGGATGTGCTTGGGGTCTTCGTCTCGCCCCTCACCTATCCTCCGGTTTCGGTTCAAGTTCCAGAGCCTAGTGGGCTCCCTTCTTTCGTGTTTTTCACGGCTGCCCCGGGGTTTTTCTTGACACTGGGGCTTTGAAGGGACAGCTCGGCCCCGGGGCCTGCAGGGTGGATTCCCGGGGCTGGGGCTAACGTGAGGGGCCTCAGGCCCCGTTGGTCCCTGCCGGGGTGTTTCTACCCCTCTGGGCGGGGCTTGCAGTTTTGTGGTGTGGGGTTTTTCCGTTCCCCCTCTCCGCATGTGCTTTGTGGGCGTCGGCCCCTCCCTGGGCTCAGTTTCCTTGTCCATTGTGCCCGTTGTTTCCGTCCTGTCGGTGGGTGCTTTTCTATAGTCTTTGCCCCTTTTTCTCCGGGACGGGCCTTCTCCGTCATGTCCCCATCTTCTTGGGGTTTCTGCATGACTTTTGGGCTCGGGTGTGACGGGGTTTTTGTGCCTTCGTCCTTTGTGTCTGCTTCTTTTTGTTCTCGAAGGTTCGGGACGGTTTTGCTCCTTCCCGTTTTCTGGTACGTCTGTCGTCATTCGGTTGAGCTTCCCTCCGGTCCTTTCTAGGGCTTGTGGGTCCTCTTCCCGGCAGCTTCTGGGTGTTTGGCCTTCTTGTTCTTTTGTGCTAATCTCTTCTCTTCGCGCTGTCTCGGCGCTACTCGTTTTCCCGGGGGCGATTTTGCTCCTCTTAATGAGTCTTTTCGCTCCTGCCCTTCTGCGGGATGTTGGTGCTGGGCGGCTCCTTATGCGGGTTCCTTCCCTGTCAGCTGCACTTGTGGCGGTGGACTTGCACGCTTGTGGCATTTTCGTTTTGGTTCTGCATTTTTCTTTTCCCTTCTGGGGCTGTCATAGGGTTGGCTTGTGGAGGTTGTAGAGGCGCTTGGGGCCATTCCTGGGTCTGGCACCTTGGTTTCTGCTGCTAGCTTTCGGTATCGATATTCCTTCTGCGCCGTTTCGTAGGCTGTATCGTGCGTTGTTTCACCTCCGGCCTGCTTATGCACTGCCTGTGTCGTGGTGGTCTTTGGACAGGGTGCTCTCCTGTTTTTCTTCTCCTTGGTGGTTGTGGCTCCTTGGGGTCAGGTTTCCTTTGCCTCGGCTTTATTTTTATGTTGGCATTGGCCTCTGGGGGTCGTGTGGCAGAGCTTCATGCTCTTCTCAGGCGCAATGGTTTTTGGCTCCTATGGTCGTGGTCATAGGTTTCTTCATCTGCGGCCGTTCTCCCTTTTTTCTGGCGAATGATGTGCCTGCTGCTTTCCGGAGGGGTCCTTGGGTTGTTGTCTTGTCTTCGTGTTGAGGAGTGGTTCACCGACCGCCTCCCGGGTCTGTCCCCTTGTTTTCTTAGGTAGTCTTTGGTGAAGTAGCTCCGGGGAGCCGTAGGGGCTCCCCCCAGAAAACCAGCGTTGAATGTAATGAAATGCCATTTTCTGGGTGAGTCCCGGAGGCTCCCCGGGACCCTCCCGCCCTCTGGTCGGCAGGTTTTTTCGCGGTTTTGATATCCAGCCTCAGAACTGGGAGTCTGGGGCTCCCCCTTCCCCCTCCCGGGGAGGGGGGAGCTGCGCAGACATGCGGCGCGGCTCGTGTGACGTGATGCTTGTTAGTTCGTTTTCCTGGGAGAGTTCTGTCCACTCGTTTGTCGATTTTTGTTGTTAACCAGAATAGGGGTTTGTTTTGTGGCGCTTACCTTTCTGGGTGCCTGTCCCGGTCGATGTGAGATATAGAATGCTCCAAATCACATGTGCATTTCTATAGGCCATTGCTCCCCGTGCCTCTCTGAGGGGGGCCAGGTTCTGGCTCGTGGTCCCCGGTAGGCCTAGAACTCCACCCACATCGACTGACGCAAATAAGTTAGGGTATCCATATCAGCCATGGATAGCTCCGGGGAGCCTCCGGGACTCACCCAGAAAATGGCGTTTCATTACATTCAACGCTGGTTTTTTGGCCAGACTTCCCCGTCCTATTGCGTCCAAAATATGCCACCAACGATTTATTTTTTATTTTTTCTGTGATCAGGGATCAGAGCCATTAAACACACTAAAGGTTGATAACCCAAATGAATTTTTCATGGATACGATACCAACATCAAATCATATATCAGACGTCACCCTATCCCCACTGGATTTTGAAGAAGCCATAAACAGTATGCCTATGCACTCTGCACCAGGCCCGGATTCTTGAAACTCCATATTCATAAAGAACTGTAAAAAACCACTATCGCAGGCCCTCCACATTCTGTGGAGACAAAGCCTAGATACTGGCATTATTCCTGATATACTAAAAACAGCAGAGATAGCACCACTTCATAAAGGAGGAAATAAGGCAGAGGCAAAAAATTACAGACCGATAGCACTAACATCGCACATCATAAAAATTTTTGAGAGAGTGCTAAGAAGTAAAATCACAAAATACATGGAATCGCAGCAACTCCATAACCCCGGACAACATGGTTTCAGAACAGGGCGCTCTTGCCTGTCGCAGTTGCTGGACCACTATGATATGGCATTAGATGCTATGGAAGACAAACATAACGCGGATGTAATTTACACAGATTTCGCAAAAGCTTTTGATAAATGTGACCATGGTGTTATTGCACATAAAATGCGTTCAAAAGGAATTACCGGAAAAATAGGCAGATGGATCTACAATTTCCTGACCAACAGAACCCAATGTGTAATAGTCAACAAAATAAAATCCAGCCCATCAACCGTGAAGAGCTCAGTCCCCCAGGGTACTGTGCTTGCTCCAGTACTTTTTCTCATCCTCATTTCGGACATAGACAAGAACACAACCTATAGCACTGTATCATCCTTTGCAGATGACACTAGGATCTTCATGAGAGTAGGCAACATAGAGGACACGGCAAACCTCCAGTCAAATGTAGGTCAGGTCTTTCTATGGGCTACAGAAAATAATATGGTGTTTAACGAAGATAAGTTCCAGCTCATGCGCTATGGAAAAAATGAAAATATAAAAACGGAAACCACGTACAAAACTCAGGCAAATCATAACATAGAACGAAAAGGCAATGTAAAAGATCTGGGTGTACTCATGTCGGAAGACCTTACCTTTAAAGAACACAATAAAGTAGCCATCACAACTGCAAGAAAAATGACAGGTTGGATAACAAGAACTTTTCACACTAGAGATGCTATACCGATGATGATACTTTTCAAAACGCTTGTGCTCTCTAGAGTAGAGTACTGCTGCACAATGACAGCACCTTTCAAAGCTGGAGAAATTGCTGACCTGGAGAGCGTGCAGAGATCCTTTACTGCTAGAATCCACTCAGTAAAACATCTAAACTATTGGGACCGACTAAAGAGCCTAAAACTGTACTCCCTTGAGCGCAGGCGGGAGAGGTACATAATAATTTACACGTGGAAAATATTAGAGGGGCTGGTCCCAAACCTGCACACAGAAATAACATCACATGAGACCAGAAGACATGGCAGGATGTGCAGAATACCCCCGTTGAAAAACAGAGGTGCAACTGGTACTCTGAGAGAGAACTCTATCAACATCAGAGGTCCGAGACTGTTCAACACGCTTCCACTACACATAAGGGGCATAACTGGCCGACCCCTCACAGTGTTCAAGAGAGAACTGGATAAGCACCTCCAAAGGATACCTGATCAACCAGGCTGTGACTCATACGTCAGGCTGCGAGCAGCCGTGTCCAACAGCCTGGTTGATCAGTCCGGCAACCAGGAGGCCTGGTCGACGACCGGGCCGCGGGGACGCTAAGCCCCGGAAGCACCTCAAGGTAACCTCAAGGTAAGGTAAGGGAACACAAATGAACACTTACAAGACAAAAGAATGTTTTGGATTTTTTTTTGTTGCGCCTGTGGATGTTGAAGGCCAAAAGGCCCTTAGTGGCCTAAGGGTTAAACACATTGAAATGCTAATATGTCAATATAATTATGTGCTGATGAAAATGTGGGAAAAATAAGATTTACTGATTACTTCAGGTTTTACAGGTACTCTTAATCACTTGAAGTGGCTAAGTGTTGCCGGGTGCCCAAGCATTGATGACTGGTGCATTGACCGGATCTGTTGCCAGTATTCCAACACTCTTGAGTACCTTGACATCAGTAACTGTATCAGAGTGACTGAACTTGGTATTTCAGCCTTAGCGCGACTGAGGTAAGTTGTTGATTTATATCTGGTGTTTTACTCGTGATGTTTTAACTTGATGTATAATAGTTCTCGTTGCCAGGGACAGTCTTCTTGTCCTTAGACTTGGACTCACCCTAGGCTAATTACTAACCTTCTACAGAATGCTACCATCAACAGTTGCTTAATTCCTGCTATTTAATTATAATTGTTAGGTGAACAGAAACATCAGGTGAAAGGAAATATAGCTATCCCTCTATCCTGCCCGGAGATTGAACCCGAGTCCCTTGATTGTGAGCTAAGGATGTAGTCTACTGTCCTATAAGACCCTAAGCAAGGGGTAATTCATGTCCTTTATGTGTATTGTCTGTGTGTTTTAAATACTACGTGAAATAGTTTGGCAAGGGTGTAATAAAATCACTCATTTCTTTTGTGTATGATGTGAGGTGTTGGGAGAATAGATTGAATTCGGAATGAAAATATCACGGAGCAATGCTAAGTGCAAAAGTTAATAAACAGCAATATTGAGAACACATTGCATTTGTGCAATACGATGAATGTTTTTTGTTCACCACCAATCAAATATAAATTGTACTGTACTTGAATGGCTTGGGTATGTTAAATGTGTGAATGGATGGTAGACTGGCAAAAAGAGTATTTATGTAAATTTGAGGGTAGGAGGAAGAGAGGAGGACTGATACATAGATAAAATATGCATGAGTGTAATTACCCAATTACCGAAGTGTAGTTACAGGATGAGAGCTACGCTCGTGGTGTCCCATCTTCCCAGTACTCTTTGTCATATAACACTTTGAAACTACTGTACTAATGGTTTTGGCCTCCACCACTTTCTCACCTAATTCGATCCAACTGTCTACTACTCTGATGTGAAAGTGATTTTTCTTATAATTCTTCAACTTTGTTTAGTTACCAGTAGTTTAAATCTACGAACTCTTGTTCCTTGAAGTTCCAGGTCTCGGGAATTCTTCCCTATCAATTTTGTTGATTCCCGTTACTATTTTGTACATAGTGCTCATATCGCCTCTTTTTTTTTCTGTCTAGTTTTGACAAATTTAATGCCTCTGACCTCTCCTCATAGCTCTTGTCCTTCAGTTCTGGGAGCCATTTAGTTGCATGGCTTTGCACCTTTTCCAGTTTGTTGATGTGCGTCTTAAGATTTGGACACCACACAACTGCTGCATATTCCAGCTTTGGTCTGACAAAAGTCGTGAACAATTTTTTTACTATTTCACCATCCATGTATTAAAAGCAATTCTGAAATTGGAAAGTGTAGCATAGGCTCCTCACGCGATGTTCTTTATGTGGTCCTCAGGTGATGGTTTTCTATCTAGAATCACCCCTAAATCTCTTTATCAGAATTTTTTAAGGATATTCTGGGGGGGGAGTCCATACGGCTCCCTACGGCTCCCTACGGCTCTCTACGGCTCCCTACGGCTCCCTACGGCTCCCTGGAGCTATCGAGGCTGATATACTAATGTCTGACTTTGGCATCAGTCATGTGTATGGAGTTCTTCTACCGGGGACCACAAGCCAGAACCTGGCCCCCTCAGAAGAGGCACGAGGAGCAATGGCCTATAGAAACCCCCGTGTGGTTGGAAGCATTCTGTCTGCCATCGACTGGATCAGGCACCCAGAAATGTAAGCATCCCAAAACAAACCCCTATTCTGGTGAAAATTGCTACGAAAAGCTGAACAAGGGGATAGAACTGCCCAAACAGAAATGAGCAGAGTAGTATGATATCACACATCGCTGCGCTGCTGACTGCGCCGCTCCCCCCTCCCCGAGAGGGGGAAGGGGGAGCCCCAGACTCCCACACCGGCAATTCACCTCTCAGTTCTGAGGCTGATGCTAGAGGCAGAGGTCGTGTGCTCTGGCTCCATTGATTGTTCCAGCACTGTCTTGTGTGTGATGGCTGTCTTCCAGGGGTGTGTGAGCCAGGAGTTATTCTACAGTACTCGGGTTGCATGCGCCTAGGGCTCCCTTCCCTAGGTGCCCTGTAAGTACTGCCCTTGGGGCTTGGGGCAGTACTCCTTCCACAAGTTCCTTGGGACCTGCCTCTGCTGGGCTGTTTTACTGCTCAGTTTTTCGGCCGCCCTTTGGGTGCTTGGGTGTTTTGTCTCCCTTGTTTACCTTAGGATAAGAGGCAGTTTGCACTGGGAACGGCCGCATGGTACTGCGCAGCCTATTTTCACCATTCGTAGTGGCTGGCTCTGTTCCTTTTGGGTACGCTGTTCTCTTGCGGGGTTTTATTTTTGTTGTGTTGCCTGGTGGGGGGGAGGGGGGGTCTGCTTGGTTGTTGTCCCCAATTGTACCTGTCTGAGTACAGTTATCTCTTCAGGTGGTACCCCTCTGCTAAGTCCCCATGAGTGTACACGTCCCTGGGGCTCAACTGTAGAGTGTTGCTTGTTGTAGTCTTGGGTGCCGGTTAGCTATACTCTGCCTGGGATTCCCTGAGCGTGAGTTCCGTCTCAGGACTCTGGGAAACCCCACAGGGGTGCGCGGGTCCAATGGATGTGGCCCCTGAGTCCCCCCTCGCTTTGTGCGAGTTTCAGGGTTGCTTGGTCCCCTTGTCTCAGGGTGACTCACTGTTTTTGCCTCCGTTATGCTGCCTGTTTCGACCCGAGTCCTGCAAGTTTTGTTGCTTGCTGGTGACTCAGTTTACCCAATCTAATGATGATTTTCTGTGGGTGCAGGCGGCGCAGGCATTGCATGTGAGCCTTAGGTTGTTGCAGCGCGCTAGGTTGGTTGCTCACCCGAATGCTCTGAGGCTGCCCTGTTTTGCTTATAGAGGCCCAGACATGGGGGTGATGGTCACTTCGACCTTGGTTCCGTCTGCGCACCCTCGTCCTTCCCGTGCTGTGGTTCATTTTGGGCCCTCCTCCCCCTCTGCTTCTGGCCCCGAAACGTCTGAGGGTTTTGGAGTTGGGACAGGGTTTAGATGGTCTTGAGACTCGGGCAGTCTCGGGGAATGCCCCTTCCGGTGTGGCGACGGAGGCATTAGAGTCTGATCTCCCTGCTGAAGCCTCTGGGTCTGACCACTGGACCCCCTTCCATCCGGCTTTCACGTTTACATTGGCCTTTTGTTTTGAGGCCGGTGCTTTGGGTGATGACTCAACCCTGGGGTGGGGGAAGGGCAGACTTTGGAGCCTTGGGCCCCGCTGGACCCTGCCTGGGTTTTTCTGCCCTCTGAGTGGGGCTTGCTGTTACAAAGAGTAGGGTTTTCTTTCCCCCCTCTGGGTACAAATTGTATTTGGTGTCTGCCCCTCCCAGGGTTCGGTTCCATGTGTCCCCCCCCCCCGCCCCCCCCCCCCCCCGGGTGCATCGATTCAATTTTCCAGAGGTTCTCGGCTTCCCGCATCCAACCTCCCGTTGTGCGGGCGGCCCTTATGACTTACCTCCTGCGTGTCCCGGAGTATGCCTTTGTTATGGATCCATCTTTGTTCAGGTTTGGGTCTTCGTTCCCCTACTGGGTCCATTACGAGGTTCCGGAGTTGTCCTGGTTGGCAGACTGTCCTGTGTTTGCTTTGGAGACTTGGCATATCTTCTGTCTTTCCCGTACGCTTGAGTGGCACGAGGCTTCGACGGTGGTTCAGGTTTTCCTGTGGGGGGGGGGGGCGAGTTTGAACACCTCAATGAGTGCTTGTTTGCCCCTGTTCTTCCTTGGGATGTTGGCGGTGTGCAGCTCTATGTGCAGGTTCTGTCCCCTTCGGATGCGCAGGTTGCCGAGGACTTGCGTGCTCGTGGCCTCTTGGTTTCGCCCTTGCGTTTCTTTTTCCTCCTGGAGAAAAGAAGCTATATAGTCGCAATGGCTTGGCGCTTTCCTCCTGATAATTCCCTTCCCTTCCCTCCTGGAGCTGTCTTCGTACTGGCTTGTGAAGATGTGAGAACGCTGGGGGCCATTCCTGGGGTCCGGTGCCTTGAGCACGGCAGCTCGCTCGTTGTCTGCCTGTTGAAGCTGTTTGCGCCGATCCTGCGGGATGCGGTTTCGCTGTTTTATGCTTTCCGGCTCGCGTGTCGGCAGGCGGTGCTTGCCTCCTCTTTGGAATCTGCCTTGGCCCTGGCTCTTAGGATGTCTTCGCCATTTTGTCCCCTGCTGTTTGCTGACTCGACAGTGGCGCAGTATTTGCAGGCTGCCTCTGCTAGTTGTAGTCCTATGTCCTACTTGTTGGTTCTCCGGGGCCCCGAGTGGGGCCTTCCCAGAGGGGTCGTGCCAGGGCTCGGGGTTCCGCTCGTCGGGGTAGGCCACTGGTGCCAGTTTTTGTACTGGCCCTGCCTTTGGACTTGCCTTCGTCTGGTCGGTGTGGTGTTCTCTCTGTGCGAGGCTTGAGTTCTCGTAAGGGGCGCCGGCCCTTTCACGGTTTTCCCCATTTCCCCGCACAGTCCCGTTTCGGGACTGTGCGGACCTGTGGTTCATTCTGGAGTTGTCCAGTCTGAACCCCTGGGTTCATTGCCCCTACTTCTGGATGACAACACTGTCCCAGGTTCGGTTCCTGTTGGTGTCGGGCGCTTGGATGGTGTCCCTGGACTTCCGGAATGCTTATTGGCACATTCGATTCATCCGGGGTTCATTCTGGGACTGGACTGGGTTCATTCTGGGACTGGCTAGGTTTTGTTGTGGGGAGCCAGTGTTACTGTTTACGTTGTCTCCCCTTCGGGTTGAACCTGGCTCCTCACGTGTTCACATGCCTTACCCGGATCATGGTGGCCCGTCTGCGTCTTTTAGGTGTTCGGGTGTTGGCCTACCTTGACAACTGGCTGGTTTGGGCTCCCAGCCGGTCTTCTTGTCTGCTAGCCAGGGATTTGGTTCTTTCCCAGCTCGCAAGGTTCAGGTTCTTGGTGAACTGGAGGAAGTCCCATCTGGTTCCCTCCCAAGTTCGGACCTGTTTGGGTCTTGTGTGGGACTCTCGGACCGCTTCCTTGTTAATTTCTCTGGAATTTCTCCTTCGGCTGTGGTCCCGCATGTGTGTGTTTCTGGAGGGGGGGCGGGGGGCTCCCGGGTCACCTGGTA